AGCTCCGTGGCAAACTTCCTCACTTAGGGCCTAGAGGCCACTCACTCACCTCCCTTCGTTGAAGCCCCTCTAGTTTCCCACATGGTTAACCAAACCCATTGTGCCCAGTCTCTTCGACACCCGGCAACCCCCTGTGCTACGGAGTGGACTAGCCTCAGGGTTTATTGGCTGCTAACAGAGCGATTGTCAGGCTTTTCTTCTGTGTCCTGCTAACCCTCACTGCCATCGATTCAATTCCGACCCTGCCACCCTGTAAGACAGAGTAGAACTGCCCCTGTGGGTTTCTGGGATTGGAACACTCAACGGGCATAGAAATCCTTTGCTTTCTTGAACGGTGTATCCTACTGGGAGGCTTCAAACAGCAACCAGTTTGCGTAGTCCAGACCACAAAGCCAAACCCACGATTACCTTCCAGCAAGAAGAACTTGAAGTTCCCACAGAAAGCCCCGGACTTTTCCAGAGTGTCATGGCTTGCTTTTCTTGCTCGACTGTCCGTGCATTTGGGTTTTAATCTGCTTTTCCATATTCTAACTGTTTTTAAGCTAGTACTCACTGTTAATGGCAACATGGACTTCTGCGGGCATAGTGGGTTTCATTTGGGGCTGCTAACCTCAAGGTCAGCAGTTCAAAACCATCAGTCATTCTGTGGGAGAAGGATGAGGCTTTCTACCCCCCTAAAGAGTTACAGTCTTGGAAACCCGCCGGGGCAGTTCTACTCTGTCATATAGGGTCACAGTGAGTCAGCATTGACTTAGGGCATGAATTTTTTATTTTAAATCAGTGAAAACTGCAAGGCAGTCGCAGTGTCTGCAGTAGCTGCAGAGTCCTTGATTGTGGTGTGGAGTGGCACAGGTCTGGGCAGTTCAAGGGACTGTCTGCCTGCCTGATGTGGAGCCAGATGATGCCAGCGTCGGAGGCAACCCACTGGCATGATCTGAGCGCCATAGTTGCCAGAGCTCATGAAGGCTCCCCCATGTCATAAAAGCCGATCTGATGAATTCTAGGCTTAGATTTGTGCGTGCCAGATACACATTTATACTTACACCACACAGCAATGCCATACCTTGTGTGCATTTTATTCAAGCTTCCTATTGTCAAAATAGAAATGTGACAGTTAGACGTTAAAAAAGGAAGTCTGAAGAAAAATGGGTGGATTTGAGCTATGGTTGGTGAAGAATAATGAGAGTACCGTGGACTGACAAAAGAACAAACCAGAATGCGCCTTACAGGCAAGGATGACCAGACTTTGTCTCATGTGTGTTGGACATGTTACCAGGAGAGACCAGTCCTTGGAGAAGGACATCATGCTTGGGAAAGTGGAAGGGTGGTGAAGAAGAGGAAGGCCCTCCAGGAGATGGATTGATCGCTTGGCTGCAACAGGGGGCTCAAGCATAAGAACACTTGTGGGGAGGGTGCAGGACTGGCCAGCGTTTTGTTTCGTTTTGTGATACGGAAGGTGGGTGCGATTCAGAACTGACCCAACACACACCTAAACAGAACAACATTCTTAAAAAAAAGTCAATTCTAACAGAAACTCCTAAGGTTTTTCAGAAATTGATAGGGTTTCTGAGAGGAAATCTTGTTGACCTGTGGTTCGCAGCCTAATGCTGATCTGCAGTGCCACCAGGGCTCCTTCGTTAGGTTAAGAAGCAGATGGGCAAACAGTTGGCACCACCCAAGCCATTCTATCGGGTCGCCGTGAATCAAAATCAGCTCGATGGCATTGAGTTGAGAACCATCAAAAACCAAACCTGCTACTACCATCAAGTCAATTCTGACTCCTACTGACCTTGTAGGCCAGATAGAGGAGCCCTGGCAGTGGGCTGTGATCCGTACGGTCCGCAGTTCGAAACCACCAACAGCTCCTCTACTCCCATAAACAGTTACAGTCTCAGAAACCAACGGGGAAGTCGCTATGAGTCAGCACTGACTGGATGGCAGTGGGAGAGAGAGGACAAGAATTGCCCCTGTGAGTTTCCGAGATCGTAGCTGTTTAAGGGAGTAAAAAGGCCAGTCTTTCTCCCGCAGAGTGGCTGGTGGTTTCAAACTGCTGACCTTAGGGTTCGCAGCCTAACTCATAACCACTTTGCCACCAGGGTGGTGAGTTAGGAAGTTATCCTTAAATATTCTCTCTCTCTGCTATGATCTGCTCTCTCTTTGCTTCTCTCTCAGCAGTGAGATGCTCGACCCAAATACAAGTCACCTGAGACAGCACACCAAGGTCTGACTGTCATATGTTTGCCAGGACAATCTGGACCTGATCCAGGTCTCTTTTCTATCCTTCCCGAGAAGATGGAGATTCTTGAAATACTAGCATGGGTATCAAGCTTGTCCTCACTCCTGAAATACCTTTACTGCTTGGTTCAATTTTATAGCAAGACATCATTGCTCTTTTCCTCTGACCCTGAGGTTTCTGTGGCTGTCAGACTAGGTTGTGACCCATTTCTAATCTGGTGTTTGAGTGTCTTTTCACTCAGGCTATGGGTTTGTCTCTTGGGCTTTCTGTTGTGTTTTAGAAGCAGGGGGTGAAGCGTGTTTTAAAAAGCCCTTCATTCGGGGTCAATGAATGGTAAGGGTATTAACAGATGCAGATACTTAACTTTTAGAGCTTGAACCCTTGCTGAAGTTCTAGTTAGTGCTTGAGGGAAGGAAGTGTTTGATAACTTTAGCCCAATGGTGCTGTGAAATTTCATCTGCAGGTTTTCCTTTGGCTCTTGTTATGCCAACGTGGCATATGCCACGTGGCAAATCATATGCCAGCGTGGCAAAAATATATTCTGTTTCTCTGCACTCCAATTGTATTGCATTTTTACAATCAAGATGTCATCCTTGTAGAGGACAGTAATTTTCAGCCTAGAGTGATTTCCCCCTGCCCCGGGCCCGGCCCGGGAAAAAGTGGGAAGGGCCTTTGAAGGGCAAAACCCGGGGGGGGGGGGGGACAACGAAAACTAACGAGGGGAAAACCAAGAAGGTGCCGAAAACAACCTAAAAAGCAACAAAAAACCCCAACCCCCCAACCCAAAAAAAAAAAAAATCACCCACCCCCACATTTCAAAGGTTGAGGATCTGTGTAGAAGATGTTACCCAAGAAATGATACAAGGAAAGTGGTTAATATCTCTCTACCTCAACATGTCTCAAGCCAAACCGATAACACTATTCCCCAATAGCCTAACTTATATATTCTTTGGAGGTAATATTCATCTTTGATTTTGAATGTTGTTTTTTTGCCTCTTAGACTCAAAGAGTTACCCAGTTCCTTTGCCTTTTTAACCATTTAAAAATGGTCATTAGTGACTTTAGTGCATTTACCATGTTGTACAAACAACTCACTGCCATTGAGTCAATGGTAACGCATAGTGATCCTATAGGACAGGGTAGAATTGCCCCTGTGGGTTTCTGAGACTGTAACTCTTTATGGGAGTAGAAAACTCTGTCTTTCTCCCTCAGAGCTACTAGTGGTTTCGAACTGCCAACCTTGCAGTTAGGAGCCCAATTGGTAACCACTACACCCATCAGGGGCTCCCTTATTATCATCTAATTCAAGAGCCTTGACATCATCTCTCAAAGAAATCTGCTACCCATTAAGCCAGTGATTCTCAACCTTCCTAATTCTGCAATCCTTTAATACAGTTCCTCATGTTGTGGTGACCCCCCCATCATAAAATTATTTTCTTTGCTACTTAATCACTGTCATTTTGCTACTGTTATGAATCGGGTGACCCCTGTGAAAGGGTCGTTCAACTCCCAAAGCGGTCGCGACCCACAGGTTGAGAACCGCTGCATTAAGCAGTCACTTCTATTCCCTACTCCTCCCAAGTCTTTAGCAACCACGAATCTACTTTCTGTCTTTGGATTGGCTTATTCTGAATATCTTATATAAATAGAATCATACAACCGGAGGTCTTTGGGGTCTGGACTTCCACTTAGCATTAGGCCTTCAAGGCCCATCCAGGTTATTGCATATATCAGGACTTCGTTTGGAGGTGTAACTCCATTGTTTTGCATGTCAATATCCAGCTATCACAGCA